GAATTACTACAACGATCAGACAAAGGTGTCTCTAACCAATGGGACAAAAAAATTAAGGAGGTGCAAAAGAGCTTGGCATTGCCCTAAACGCCGTCAACGTATGGGTGCCAAAAGTAGTGGACTATCTAGTAAGACGCACCGACACTCCATTTGTGGTGGATATGGTTAACTACCCCTTACCCTCCAAGTTCTAGATGCCCACGGTGGAAACCTTCAATGGTTCAAAAGATCCACTTGATCACCTCAACACGTACAAGTCAATTATGCAACTATAAAATGTACCTGACAAAATAATGTGCAGAGCCTTTCCTACCACCTTTAAAAGATTTGTATGACAGTGGTTCACCAAGCTCAAGACATCTTCTATCAACTCATTTACTGAATTAAGCAAATCTTTCATTTCTCACTTTTATAAGGGGATGCCAACATCAAAAATCGGTCATCCACCTGCTCATTATCAAGTAGGACTATAGTAAGAATTTAAGGAGCTACCTTACTCGATTCAACGAGGAGGCCTTCCAGATTGAAGAGCTGGATGAGAAGGTCACCATGACCCCCTTTATCGCAGGTTTGTGCTCATCAAGTTTCATGCTCTCAATTTTGAAAAAATCACTAGCAAGAATGTTCGAGCTTTTATCTAGGGCACACAAGTACATGAATACCGAGTATCTCACAAAGGCCAGGCCAGGCAAGTTGAGTCCTCCCGTTGGGGAGAGAAGAGAAAGGGCACTTGTGAAGATAAGAGATAAGCGAAGAATAAGAAAAAGAGGATGAAAAGAGTGTAAATCAAGGATCGCCTCAGTCCCACACCTTTGAGAGAGCGGCAAGCCTTTACCTTGCTCAATGCTTCGGATAAACATATCTTGCTCCAAATACATGATGATCCTACGATACGTAGGGCGGAGAAGATGAAGTCCGACTTGAACAGTAGGAACCCAAACAAGTATTGTCATTTCTACCATAATCAAGGGCACGACATCGACTACTGCTTGAACTCAAGAGGCAGATCGAGAAACTTATACATTGCAGCCTATTGCGACAGTACGTTACTAGCAGAGGACAAGCTCTGCCACCTGACTGGAACCAGGATGACAGAGAGCACCAACAGCCCCTTAAAGAAATTCAAATGATCTTCGGAGGGTTGGGAGGAGGAGGTGACTCTGACTTAGCTAGGAAGGCACATGCTAGAAGAGCCAGACAGAGTTAGATGACTCTCACCCAACACAGACACTCCAGCTTGGAGAAGGGGAGGTCATCTCATTCTCTGATAAGGATCTCGAGGGGATCTAACACCCCTATGATGACTCTTTGGTGCTAACCATAATGATAGCCAACTACCAAGTTAAGAGAATTCTGGTGGACGTCGACAACTCAACCGATATCCTGCTTGCATCTGCCTATGATAGCATTTATCTTGGCAAGGAAATATTGCAACCCGTTAGGATGCCCTTCATTAGATTTTTGGGGGAGAAGGTGTATCCCTTGAGTTCCTTCACCTTGCCTGTCATAGTAGGGACAACACCAAGAAGCTTCACCATCATGGTGAACTTTATAGTATTGGATTTCTCTTCTGTGTACAACATCATTCTTGGACGCCCTACACTTAATACTTTAAGGGCAATGTCATCCACCTATCACCTTATTCTCTGTTTCCCAACTCCTTGTGGGAATGGAGAAATCAGAGGAGACCAAGTTGCCACCAGAGAATGTTATGTGGCCTCTATGAGAGCCAAGAAACCTCAAGAAACCCTCCAAGTGGAAGTGCACGATCCCAATACCTATAAAATTCAGAACTCTAAAGGAAAGCCTTGGTCTATCCATAGAATGTCGAACACTTGAAGAGATATTATCAAGAGCAGGGTACAAGCTAGTGACTCTCATTTTATTTGCCATTTGTTGGTTCAGTTAATTTATTTTGTTATCTATTATTTTAGTTATGAAATAAAACTCTGCAAAAATTATTTTGTCTGGAACTGTCTTTCTTGCATTCCATAGAAGTTTGTAAACAACTTACAAAAGTCAAAACATGACCTAATAACAAAAAGGCAGACAAGTAAAGATAAAAATTGTCATACTCCCTACGATCGCTCACTACTCCTCAATCCACTCTCATTAAAACTCTTCCCGTCACCATTTATCTCTAGTGTCTCATATGGGACGAAGCCATAGAAATCAATATCAGGGAAAGTTGTTGAGGCCTTTTCCCTAAACTCCTCATAACCATCAATAAAAGCATCTACAATGGCCCTCTTAGTAGCCTCTGCCCTGATGGCTTTCTCACGAGCTACTCGCAAGTCTGCCTTTACCACGTTAGCTCTCTCCTGAGATATCCATAGCTCTTCCTCAGCTTCTGCGACCTTTTCGCGGGCCGCTCGTAGCTTTATTTTTGCTCTTGCGCAGGTAGTCTCCCTGTCAAGCTCCAACTTGTCGGCACTCTCACAAAACATTGAAAGCTCGGCCTCAAGAGGTGCAACTTTCTCGTAAGCCAACCTCAATTGCTTCTCAACAACCTCTCGTGCTTGTCTCTCTTTTGTTAGAGCCCTTGATGCCCTACCAAGCTTGATTGTCCTCAAAAAAAGGCATGGAAAAATAATAGCCACCTACGGACATCCAAAAGGTAAAACATAAAAATAGGGGGCAAGTGCAAAAATCAAGGTTGAATAGAAAGAAAGAATACTGTGCAGTATCAATAATGCCCTTTGGACCTCGAGAGTCGACCTTTCTGATATCTGTAGCCGTCACAATGTTCCAAGCCATTCCTTGGTTAGGTTCACATCTTACAACATAGACACCGAGCCACTACTGAAAACAGGATAGCCACGTAGAGCTCCAGTCCTTGTAAAGGACCGCACAGGAGTCTCAACTCCTAAAGTAGTACTTGGATTAGCCCTAGCACTCAAAGGGGCCGCATGCTGAGAAAGAGTGGGGCAACACTGGATTCAGCATGACCATTGAACCTCGGCCGAGAAGCACTAGGGGCATCAGGCTTCGCCTTCTTGGGAGGAGGGGAAGACGCCACCCTAAACACATAGAGAGTCTCTACCATTGCTCTATCAATAGTAGTACCTGCAGAACTTGAATAAAAAAGACAACTTACAAGCGTCACCAAATTTATCCAAAGAGCCAAACACTTTTCCTCTTTTCTCTGGGGAAGGCTCTGAAGTGATCTGACATAGAAATTAGGGCTGTAAAGTTCTTGGCAGGATGATCCCTCATAGTCTGAAGCCTACTCTCCTGCTCCGCTGATAGTGGGGCTAAAGCTACAAAGGAGCTAACACATGTAATGAATACAAGAGACATGACAGTTGGGTATAAAAGTAAGGGTAAAACTCATACCTACCTTGGTCCTTGGGACAGTATCCCATCTCGAAGGTACTAAGTCACTCACCTCCTCGGCAACCCACTCACCTCATACAACAAAAAACTTGGACTTCCAACTAGTTTGAGGGCAGTGTAGTGATTAGCTTGCCCGACCTCAAAACGAAGTTGTACCATCCGTGATGAGGAGTAGAATTATCCAAAAGTACATACAACGTTAGGAACTCCTCAAAGGGGGGATAAACATCCTCATTATGTACCAGCCACCATAGTGAAAAGAACGCCAAAAGTATCTAATCATTCGAAGTCAACCTCCCCGGAGTAAGCGACAAGTGACCTAGAATCTGGCAAATAGGTCTAGGCATAGGAAACCTCAATCCTACCTCCAAGACATCCTCATAGAAAACAATCTTCCCAGAGGAGTCATAACACGCCGACTCTTCTTTCTCGACCTAGCGACATAGAACGAAAGGAGGGATATGGAACGAGGACACAATACTATATCATTATCATCATCTATGGAATTGAAAATAGAGGTTATCTTCGAGCCGTCACTGTCAGTGGTCCCTTTGCTTTGTGAGGAATCTGTTGCATTGTTCCTCATCATGCCATTGTTAGAATGACACCTACCAATGATTAGAGCCAATATTAAAAAAAAGAAGAAAAAAGAAAGAATGTGTCAAAATTAAGGAATTAGGAGACGGGCAGAGTTGCATTACCTAGCCGAAAGGCGNGGATGATCCCTCATAGTCTGAAGCCTACTCTCCTGCTCCGCTGATAGTGGGGCTAAAGCTACAAAGGAGCTAACACATGTAATGAATACAAGAGACATGACAGTTGGGTATAAAAGTAAGGGTAAAACTCATACCTACCTTGGTCCTTGGGACAGTATCTCATCTCGAAGGTACTAAGTCACTCACCTCCTCGGTAGCCCACTCACCTCATACAACAAAAAACTTGGACTTCCAACTAGTTTGAGGGCAGTGTAGTGATTAGCTTGCCCGACCTCAGAACAAAGTTGTACCATCCCTGATGAGGAGTAGAATTATCCAAAAGTACATACAACGTTAGGAACTCCTCAAAGGGGGGATAAATATCCTCATTATGTACCAGCCACCATAGTGAAAAGAACGCCAAAAGTATCCAATCATTCGAAGTCAACCTCCCCGGAGTAAGCGACAAGTGACCTAGAATCTAGCAAATAGGTCTAGGCATAGGAAACCTCAATCCTACCTCCAAGACATCCTCATAGAANCGAGACAAGTCTATGTATATGTTGACCTCTTGAAACCCTATGGATGGTGCCCTAAATGGAGAAAGGGGGTTTTTACTGTGAAGGGATAAAATTTCCTCTAACCTGATAGCAGCGATGTAGGTGTCTAGTGATGGTNAAAACAATCTTCCCAGAGGAGTCATAACACGCCGACTCTTCTTTCTCGACCTAGCGACATAGAACGAAAGGAGGGATATGGAACGAGGACACAATACTATATCATTATCATCATCTATGGAATTGAAAATAGAGGTTATCTTCGAGCCGTCACTGTCAGTGGTCCCTTTGCTTTGTGAGGAATCTGTTGCATTGTTCCTCATCATGCCATTGTTAGAATGACACCTACCAATGATTAGAGCCAATATTAAAAAAAAGAAGAAAAAAGAAAGAATGTGTCAAAATTAAGGAATTAGGAGACGGGCAGAGTTGCATTACCTAGCCGAAAGGCGCCACATTCTCCATTCCTAGCAAAACTCAGTATACTGCCTTGGTTAATTAGCACGCCTACTTGTTGTTCCCCATGAATGCCTGAGCCCAGGTCACTCAGCATTACGACTGTAGTAGCAGCAGCACCACGCCTGCGTGCGCATATGCATTAGTGCCCAAGGTGTCACCAGTTACGCTAGCACCAAGGGTGTCGCCAGTGCCTTCTCTGCCTGTGCCTGGGGTGCTGTTTACTGCGTTTGGGGCATCGTTGCCTAGCACGTTGCTTGCACTTGGGGCACTACCGCCAAGCCTTCCTCTGCTGCCCATCCTTCCTCATTCGTCGCCTGCATCACCCAAGTCACCTACAGCCGCACCCCTGTCATTTCCCTAGATGCCTCTGACGCGCACATCCATCACCTCTGGTGTCGCCCAGGCTACCAGCAGTGGCGTCACCCAGGTCGCCTCCAGCCGCGGCTTTGAAGCTGCCTCTGGCGCCACCTCTAGTGCCCCTAGCGTCACCCATACTACCAGCAATAGCGTCGCCCAGTCCAGCTACTCCAACGGCCCTTGCGCCTCCTTGCCTTGTCTTGGAGAAGCCTATGACGCTATCCATGGTACCTCCTATGAATTCACCTAGTTTGGGGATCCTTTTCTTTGTCTTCCTACTTGCCTCCATGCTCTTTTTCTGCGACCTCCTTCAATGGATTATGGAATGAAGAGGACGAGACAAGTCTATGTATATGTTGACCTCTTGAAACCCTATGGATGGTGCCCTAAATGGAGAAAGGGGGTTTTTACTGTGAAGGGATAAAATTTCCTCTAACCTGATAGCAGCGATGTAGGTGTCTAGTGATGGTGAATCCATGACGCAAAGATAGTGCTTATCCCTAATTGAAGTTGTCCTCCCCAGAAGACTAATAGCCTGACCTACACGTCACCGCCTCAACTAAGACTCTATGCCTATAAATTGTAACCTCCTACACATGGAGGCATCTCTCACACACACCACTCCTTGAGCTTAATCTTACTTTCTCTCTCTCTCTCTCTCTCTCTCTCACTCTTACCTACTACTTTATTCTCTCNGCACCTACCAATGATTAGAGCCAATATTAAAAAAAAGAAGAAAAAAGAAAAAATGTGTCAAAATTAAGGAATTAGGAGACGGGCAGAGTTGCATTACCTAGCCGAAAGGCACCACATTCTCCATTCCTAGCAAAACTCAGTATACTGCCTTGGTTAATTAGCACGCCTNACACCTACCAATGATTAGAGCCAATATTAAAAAAAAGAAGAAAAAAGAAAGAATGTGTCAAAATTAAGGAATTAGGAGACGGGCAGAGTTGCATTACCTAGCCGAAAGGCGCCACATTCTCCATTCCTAGCAAAACTCAGTATACTGCCTTGGTTAATTAGCACGCCTNTAATAAAATTTTTCGGTCATCGTTGCCGCCTTCAATGGTTAGGTCACCTAGGACCAATCATCCAATCTTTGNTAAAATTTTTTGGTCATCGTTGCCGCCTTCAATGGTTAGGTCACCTAGGACCAATCATCCAATCTTTGTCTATTATTATTGATTGTCTTTTTAATTACTTTACTCCATNCTACTTGTTGTTCCCCATGAATGCCTGAGCCCAGGTCACTCAGCATTACGACTGTAGTAGCAGCAGCACCACGCCTGCGTGCGCATATGCATTAGTGCCCAAGGTGTCACCAGTTNTGTCTATTATTATTGATTGTCTTTTTAATTACTTTACTCCATACACTCGACTGATTTGATTGTGCATAATTAGATTTGTAAATCATCAGTTCTCATGGCATCAATATAGAATTATCACATTTGCTAATGCATTATTTCATGACATCACACTTTTTTTAAGTTAAGCTCAAGTACATAAAGGTTTAACCAATATAAAAAGAACAATTGCTATGTGNTTACGCTAGCACCAAGGGTGTCGCCAGTGCCTTCTCTGCCTGTGCCTGGGGTGCTGTTTACTGCGTTTGGGGCATCGTTGCCTAGCACGTTGCTTGCACTTGGGGCACTACCGCCAAGCCTTCCTCTGCTGCCCATCCTTCCTCATTCGTCGCCTGCATCACCCAAGTCACCTACAGCCGCACCCCTGTCATTTCCCTAGATGCCTCTGACGCGCACATCCATCACCTCTGGTGTCGCCCAGGCTACCAGCAGTGGCGTCACCCAGGTCGCCTCCAGCCGCGGCTTTGAAGCTGCCTCTGGCGCCACCTCTAGTGCCCCTAGCGTCACCCATACTACCAGCAATAGCGTCGCCCAGTCCAGCTACTCCAACGGCCCTTGCGCCTCCTTGCCTTGTCTTGGAGAAGCCTATGACGCTATCCATGGTACCTCCTATGAATTCACCTAGTTTGGGGATCCTTTTCTTTGTCTTCCTACTTGCCTCCATGCTCTTTTTCTGCGACCTCCTTCAATGGATTATGGAATGAAGAGGACGAGACAAGTCTATGTATATGTTGACCTCTTGAAACCCTATGGATGGTGCCCTAAATGGAGAAAGGGGGTTTTTACTGTGAAGGGATAAAATTTCCTCTAACCTGATAGCAGCGATGTAGGTGTCTAGTGATGGTGAATCCATGACGCAAAGATAGTGCTTATCCCTAATTGAAGTTGTCCTCCCCAGAAGACTAATAGCCTGACCTACACGTCACCGCCTCAACTAAGACTCTATGCCTATAAATTGTAACCTCCTACACATGGAGGCATCTCTCACACACACCACTCCTTGAGCTTAATCTTACTTTCTCTCTCTCTCTCTCTCTCTCTCTCACTCTTACCTACTACTTTATTCTCTCACTAATAAAATTTTTTGGTCATCGTTGCCGCCTTCAATGGTTAGGTCACCTAGGACCAATCATCCAATCTTTGTCTATTATTATTGATTGTCTTTTTAATTACTTTACTCCATACACTCGACTGATTTGATTGTGCATAATTAGATTTGTAAATCATCAGTTCTCATGGCATCAATATAGAATTATCACATTTGCTAATGCATTATTTCATGACATCACACTTTTTTTAAGTTAAGCTCAAGTACATAAAGGTTTAACCAATATAAAAAGAACAATTGCTATGAGAATTATAGAATTCCAAATATGCAATAGAACTACAACCAATTCTTCGAGGCAAAAGAAATGCTATCAAGCATATCATCAACCTACTAAGAAAGGCAAAATATATAAGCCACTTCATAGCAAAATCCATCACGCCACACCAAGGCTCACCATTACAACACATTTCATACATTTTTCTTTTGAAAACATGTTGCTCTTCATGGTTTCTATGGTGAAATTATNAGAATTATAGAATTCCAAATATGCAATAGAACTACAACCAATTCTTCGAGGCAAAAGAAATGCTATCAAGCATATCATCTACCTACTAAGAAAGGCAAAATATATAAGCCACTTCATAGCAAAATCCATCACGCCACACCAAGGCTCACCATTACAACACATCTCATACATTTTTCTTTTGAAAACATGTTGCTCTTCATGGTTTCTATGGTGAAATTATGGTGAAGTAACGAAAAAAAATTCACGAGATAAATTTTTTTGCCATAAATTCAGTTCCTATCGCCTTAATTTAAACCTCATATCATAAGTGTTAATAGACTTTAAATTAAGCACTACATTTCGGAACCTAATTTATTGACCTAATCAACTATTACCTTTGGACCTAGACAACTATGACCTTTGGATCTAATCTAGATAAATTTTGTTTATTGTCCAAAGGGGCTGAGGCTAATAGAACCAAGTATTCGTCACAAACAACAAAAAAAAAAAAACATGCATTAGTCCAAGTATGAGTCCTCAAAGTCAAAATCTATAGAATTAGTATGGAATCTAAAGTCCCAAAAATTTACAGTCACAAATGTCTGTTTCATTTCTGAGTATAAAAAGAAAGAACCAAAATTTCATATATAACATCATCTAAGAATTGAGTAGCAAACAATTCTTAAACCTTAATCCAATTTACTGGCCTTTCTTAAGGGTTTATTTAGAATGTGGGTGTTTATAGACTTGCACGAAACTAAAATGAGCTAANATCACAAATGTATGTTTCATTTCTGAGTATAAAAAGAAAGAACCAAAATTTCATATATAACATCATCTAAGAATTGAGTAGCAAGCAATTCTTAAACCTTAATCCAATTTACTGGCCTTTCTTAAGGGTTTATTTAGAATGTGGGTGTTTATAGACTTGCACGAAACNAAAATAGAATTGTAAAAGAAAACCCGTTTCGAGGGGGTGAAAACCTCCAATGGTTCAATTCGAGAAGAACCTAACTCCAAAATTTCACAAGAAAGTTTAATATAATATTCTTCATGTCATTTCCATTGATAGAGAAGCCTNGTGGGTGTTTATAGACTTGCACGAAACTAAAATGAGCTAAGGGGTGGGCCTGAATTGAACAGGTAAAAAGATGATGATTGAACCTATTACATATCCAATCAAAAATTCTTACAAAACCCTGCATTAAAAAATAACATAATCAAACCAAATTCACACATTAAATTGAACCTAATCAAATCGAGTTCAAATTGAACCTAATCAAATCAAAATTCATAAATCCAATCGAATATAATCAAACCGATTTCACAAATCCAAATTAGACCTAATCAAATCGAATTCAAATTGAGCCTAATAAAACACAAATCCAAATTGAACAAAATCCAATGGAGTGTGTGGATTTGTGTTGTGTTGTGTGTGTGTGTGTGTTTTGGGGAGTGGGCTGCGTAGAGGGGGAAAGAAGGGGGTGGGTTGCACGTGTGTGTGTGTTTGAGACATAGCAAAATGTTCATACATTTTAAATTTCTTCCTTCAATTTCTATGATAAAATGACTCATTCTAAAGAAATTAAACAACAANGTTTGAGACATAACAAAATGTTCATACATTTTAAATTTCTTCCTTCAATTTCTATGATAAAATGACTCATNTTGAGACATAGCAAAATGTTCATACATTTTAAATTTCTTCCTTCAATTTCTATGATAAAATGACTCATTCTAAAGAAATTAAACAACAAAAAGAAGGTCAACATAGATTTACGCACAATTATATAGTAATAACATGTGCCAATATAGAGTTGGAATTGGTCACTTGATGAATGCACTAGCGGTAGATATTGTTGGTTTTGTATAGCGAATAATTAATACTGATAACAAAAGTTGTGAGACAAGAATTTAATATAGGGCAAATAATAAAACAAAACACAACAATATAACGTCGTTTTTACGTATCTTGATACACTATACCTACATTCACAGACCCAAAGCTTATATCGATGTATTATTCACTAAAAAATAGGTAACAAATTACATGATACTTAATCTTATTTATAGGGATAAAATATTGTAACTCAAACCTATTAAAATGAAACTTGATGCTAGTGTTTCCTATCATCAATCTCTAAAAATATACCTATTTATCATATACTTGTAATCACAACAAATCAACCTTAAATATATGTGTATCTATATGACCTAACCCTAAACAACCATCATTGTAACAAACCCTAAAATCAAAAATAAAAATGTTAGCAACAAAATTCCCATCAAAATAACAAAAATATAAAAACTAAAACAAAGGAAATACACATCTATAGATACAATTGAGATTGAAATTCAATCTATATGTACATGCATATGAACCAAACCATTAAAAGCCACTAAAAATGCCTCAATGCGAAAACACTCGGAACCAATTACTCCCAAATACAACATCTGGTACTATAATAAAACTGCAAATCCTAGCTGCATCGAAATACATGTGAACATGTTACGTGCACACTTTGAGGAATTTAGAAAATAAACGACAAATAGAATTG